TTGAGGAGAGTGTTTCCAAACGTGAGCTGATGGACCGCCAGTGCTGCTGGTTTACTTACAGAAGCCGGAGAGCACGATTCAGCCAGGAATGGTCCCACAGCCGGCAGGCGGCAGTCGCACATTTCACCCAGTCTGATGCACTGCTCGCACACAGAGAGGCCTGCGCAGCATTCACTGCACCCTAAAGAACAGTAGTCCTTAAAGGCACACAGAAATGCAAAAATCTGTCACATGACCTCAGTCAGAATCCTGCTAGACCCCAGACGTCACGCTGTAACCTCAAATGCAAACTTCTTTAAATGCTGAATAAATAACCCTTCCACAGCTGGGTCGGCTGATCTTCTCCAGAGTCCAGTCGTCTGTGTTACACTTTATAAACTGCATCTCTCAGAATCAGGGGAACAGTAAAAGTGCATGACTGCCTGCACAGCCACAACCTGAATAACCCCACAGGGTTAACTACTGCACCTCAAGCAGACACAGGCATGTTTCTGAGAACTACTGAGATATAAAAGTGTTCATAAGCTGTAAAATGATAACTGCCAGGTTTACAATATAAACGTTTCATGTATATTTTCCTATACCTGCATGAATCCAGCAGATAATTTTATTATAAGTTCAAAGCTGACAGCACAGTGGGTAAAAAACAGCCCATAGAGCAAAGACGGGTCCCTGCAGGGGTCAAACCAAAGGTAAGTACCTCACAGGGAACCATTTCTTAGTTTTCTGGTCTGTAAGAAGCATGAACCCGGCCAAGAGCACCAACCTTGAGGCAGTATCGGATCCAGAGCCCAATCCCTAGGACGATCATGTACAGGCTCACAGTGATTATCAGCACTGCAGGCAGAGGGATTGCAAGCCTCCAAACAGGCAACACCTGAAGAAGAAGACCAACTGAACATCAAACACGTGACAGTCGAGCTGAAGAGGCGTCACATTACAAAAAGTAATGGATTAAGGTTCCTCACCGGCATTGTGTTTTTCTGAAGTCAGAGGAGCCTCGGGAGTGTCTGAGGAAAACACAGAGACTTAAAGTTTCACCACGACACAGGAAAGACTTTGCGTTATCTTCTGTTTCAGAGAAAATCAGCTGCCAGAAGCACCGCGGCTCGTCCACAAGCATTTCAGAAACCTGCGCTCAGCTCAGGGTGCTGCTGGAGCCACCCTCACTCAGAGAGCCACGTGCACTACAACCACACATGATTATCTCAGAGGTCTGAGGTTTCTGTTGCTTTTCCTCCTGAACCTCTCCACCTGTTAAAATCGGGTCTGCAGCCACGCCCATCAGCTCCAGGTTTGTCCTCACCAATCTGGAGTGCTTCAGAAACCAATTTAATGGAAGGAAGTCTAACGCTGTTATTAAAGTCTGGCTGTTTCTGAGCTTTGAGTTATGTCCCTGTCTGTTATTCTGATTCTATCTCATTTACTTTTCTTTTGTTTCCCTCTAATGGATTCTGGCTGGTTCCTTGTTTACGATACTTCTTTAATGTATTTATTTATTTCACATTATTCTGTCATCTTTAGCTCGTTCTGTGTCGTTAGCTCTGAAACGTTTTTATTCCGGATGAATCCGTTTTGGCAATTATAGTTTAACTGCAGTTACCTGTTAAACTGAAGATGCTGCCGTTAATAACGCCTGAAACGTTACAGACGTTTTACAACGAAACAAACGACCGGAAGCTCCTTCTGCGCGTTCACGGCGCTCTCGGTAACAAACATGAGCGCGGAGAGTTTCGGTGAACTCACATTTGTCAGGTTTTATCGTTAAATGTGGAAGAAAGCAGTTTCT